GGACGGAGTATTAATTATCAGTGCACACATAAAAATGGTTATCTTTGTATATCTGTGAGTAGCTTTGTCTCAAATTCTTGAGGTTTTCTAACCCTTAGTTTGGATTAGGTGAGAAAAGGAGAGGAAGGAAAATAGTATGAAAAAAAATGATCAAATGAGAAAGTGATGAGTTAATGGAAAGAAAAGTATTATTGTTTGGATGATGTAAAAATTGGTGTCAAAGTGATGAGAAAATATGAAAAAAAAAATGAAAAAAATGGAGAAGAAAAAGTTATAGTGCGTGGTTGGTGCATTTTCTCACTAGGTGAGAAAAAGTTTTTAGGCGGACCCCATTATTATTTTTCATTTTCTTATCATTTTCATTCATGTCCAAACAAGAGAAAATGTATTGAAGTGTGTGTTTTCTCACTTCCAATTTTCTTTCCCCTCTTCTTCTCAGTATTCTAACGAAGGCTAATATTTTTGTTTATTTTATATCATTATATACTCTCTCCGTCCCTAAATAGATTACAATTTTTTTTTCTCTCTCATCTCGATAACTTTTGTTTGTTTACGCGATTTCATCAAGTATTTGATAAAATAAAATATTCTTGTCACCTCTTGTTTTGTAGAACTTTTGACGTAGTTTTTTAATATGTAATTTTTATAGCTTATTGATATACCAATTTGTAAATAAAATGATTTCAAAAAATAGGAAATTTTACTCTGTAACCCGCAATTTGTAATCAAATTGGGGACGGAGGGAGTAATATTCTGGTCTTGACTTTATTTGGGTATTTGTGTGAAGTAGACAAGAGTCTCGGGAGTGATGACAAATGCGCCGTTTATGCTAAATGTGGACTGCGACTGTTACGTAAATGATCCAAAAGTGGCACTCAATGCAATGTGCGTACTCTTGGGATCGGAGGAGGACGAAAAAGATGGTGCAGCATTTGTCCAATTTCCTCAACGCTTCTATGGTGCTTTGAAAGATGACCCTTTTGGAAACCAAATGAAAATCTTGATCAAAGTAAACAACCTAACATATTCTCTTTTAAGAAAATTATGTAGTCCAAAATACTTCATTTTCGTTTCGGCAAATTTCAATAATTCAATCCCCTATTCAACATTTTTAAATACAAATTCATTTAGGTAGTGTTTGGCAACTAGCATTTCATTTCAATTCATGCATTTCAATTCCAGGATTTGAAATCTTGAATTTCAAATGACAAGGGGAGGTGCATGGATTTCAAATTAAGCTTTGCTATAAATGAGAGGAATTTGACTCAAATCTAAATTCAAAATTTTTGAATTTCCCAAACATGGAATTTGAGTCAAATCCGGATTTGAAATCCAAATCCATGTTCCCAAACATGCCATTAGAGCGAAATATGAATTAATTTGGAACAAAACGAGTAATTTTGCACATTTTTTTTTCAAATTATAGTTGATGGTGCCGGGAACGGCTGGGATTCAAGGACCGTTTTATCAAGGAACCGGATGCTTTCATAGGAGAAAAGTTATTTACGGTTCATCCCCAAATCAAAGAGGTGTCAATGGTGAGCATATGCTAACTATTCATGTCTCACACCATTTGCTATTTTATTTATTTCTTTTAGGTTGAGTAATTATTTAATGAAGAATTTACTTGTTGAAATATTGGAATAATAATATTGCTACTTTGAATTATGGGGTACATGATAGAGTATATATAAGAGAGACTCCTAATTAATACAACTAGGAATAGAGAATGGAAACTAACTAAAATACAACTTCTACCATAACTAGGAATACTTAATATTATTGTATAATATCCCCCTCAAGCTGAACTCTGACTGAAGCAAGAGCAAGCTTGGACATTAGCTGAAAACTGGAAACTTTGAGAAGAGAGAAATCTGACGTGTGCCGGTGGCTGCTGATATCGTTGGAGAAGAGAGAAATTGACGTGCGCTGGTAGCTGCCGACGTCGAAGAAGAAGAGAGATGGCTGACGTACGCTTGTAGCTGCTGACGTCGAAGAAGAATAAAGAATGCTACTTGAGGTGCCTGTTTGACTGAAGATCTTTGACATTCTGTCTTTTTCTTGGATCCGGGCAATGCCCTATTTCTTTCTTGAAGGGGTGTAGAGGTATTCTTTCCTCTTTCACTACTTCCCCTTTTGACTTTGCTTTTGTGTTGTTTTTTTTTTTTTGGATTTTTATTGGTCAACAAAAGAGAAAGAGAAGAGAGGTTGATGATTAGAATGAGATATTTGAGAGAGAAAAAAGTGAGTTAGGAATTGGTGATGGAATAAAGATTTGGGTCTGAGATTTTGATATGATGAATTGGAGAGAAACAAAAATCATTTTTTTTCCTTTTTTTTTTGAGAAGATAGGATGAATTGAGAGAGTTTGTGAGGAGTTGAGTTTTTTTTTGAAGAACCATGGAGAGGACAAGAGAAGTTCCTCCTTTGATGGTTTTTTTGGTGTGATTTCAACATGGTTTTTTTCCTTTTTTTTCATTTGAATAGAGAAGTTGATTTGAAGATAAAAGAAGGAAAGGAAAATAAAGATGAATAAGGTGGAGCCGCCGTCGCCGGAATTACCGGCGGCGGCGGTGGAAGCAATTAACTCTTTTAGATCACCAAGAGCGATGGCTCCGATACCATGTTGAAATATTAGAATAATAATATTCCAACATGGTATCGGAGCCACCGCTCTTGGTGACCTAAAAAAAAATCTTTGCTCCCACCGCCGCCGCCGGTAATTTTGGCAACGGCGGCTCCACCCTATTCACCTCTATTTTCGTTTCCTTCTTTATCCTCAAATCAGCTTCTCCATTCAAATGAAAAAAAAATCCCAACTCCTCACAAACTCTCTCAGATCATCCTATCTTCTCAAAAAAAAGGAAAAAAAATGATTGTTGTTTCTCTCTAATTCACAATATCAAAATCTCAGACCCATTTTTTTTTCCATCAGCAATTCTTAACCTACTTTTTCTCTCTAAAATCACTCATTCTAATCATCAATCTCCCTTCCCTTTCTCTTCTGTTGAACCAATAAAAATCCAAAGTAAATCAGCACAAAAGCAAAGCCAAGAGGGGAAGTAGTGAAAGAGGAAATAAGACCTCTACAACTCACCCCTTCAAGAAGGAAATAAGGCATTGCCCGGATCCAAGAAAAAGACAAAAAATGTCAAGGATCTTCAGTCAAACAGGCACCTCCAGTAGCCTTCTCTATTCTTCTTCGACGTCAGCAGCTACAAGCGCACGTCAACCTTTTCTCTTATTCTTCAACGTCAGCAGCTACCAGCGCACGTCAATTTCTCTCTTCTTCAACGATGTCTGCAGCTACCAGTGCATGTCAGACTTCTCTCCTCTCCAACGACGTCAGCAGCCACCGGCGCACGTCAGACTTCTTTCTTCTCCAACGACGTCAGCAGCCACCGGCGCACGTCAAACTTCTCTCTTCTCAAAGTTTCCAGTTTTCCGGCTAGTGTCCAAGCTTCCTCTTGCTTCAGCCAGAGTTCAGCTTGAGGGGGGATGTTAGACAATAATATTAAGTATTTCTAGTTATGGTAGAAGTTGTATTTTAGTTAGTTTTCATTCTCTATTCCTAGTTGTGTTAGGAGCCTCTTCTATAAATACTCTATCATGTACTTCATAATTCAAGTAGCAATATTATTATTTCAATATTCCAACATTACTTAAATATCACTAAAACATAATGATTTTCTCTAAATAGCACCATATATGTTTTTCTTCCCAATGTAGCACTTTTAGTCATTATGCATTAGTCATTATTCGAGCAAATATTCGTCATCACAAGACATTATGGACATTATTAAGTGCTATTTAAGAAATAAAACAATTTAAGTGCTATTTAGGGAAATGACTTAAGTTTTATTGCTATTTAGTCCAAATACAACAAGTATTTCTTATTTAATTTGGTATTTTATTTTTCATCTTAATTGACGAAGACATAATGTTGGAGAGATTTGGCAAGTCAAAGGACGCATTCACCCTTTCAGCTGCTCAAATTTTGTCACCATCTTCTTCTCGCCCAAATGCAGAGAATTCCTCTCCCACTCCCATTGATGAGGCAGCTTACCAAGTTGCACATTCTACCTATGAATTTGGCACCACTTGGGGAGATCAAGTAATTAACTACTCCTAGGGCCTGTCTGGAAATAACGTTAGAAATTAGCGTTGACATTTTGAATAAAAATTTTACAGTGCAGATTATTTTGAAAAAGTTAACGCTAAATGCTGCCTGTAAATAGCCTTTTCAAAACGCTAACGCTAATCTCTAACGCTATTCCCAAACCGACCCCTAATATATGTATATTTAAATCTTCAGGTTGGGTGGAAGTACGGATCCGCAACGGAAGACATCCTCACGGGACTAAGTATCCATTGCAAGGGGTGGAGATCCGCGTTTTATGATCATGACCCTCCCAGTTTTCTTGGTTGCGCGCCAACTGGTGGGCCGGCTGCATTGACCCAACAAAAACGATGGGCCACTGGGCTGATGGAAGTATTCATTAGTAGAAAGAGCCCAATCATCGGCACCCTCTTTGGCAGGCTCGGATTCAGGCAATGCATGTGTTATCTTTGGTTTATGGTGTGGCCCATCCGGCCCATATTCGAATTGTGCTACTCTCTCCTCCCTGCTTATTGCATCTTCACCAATTCTCACTTCCAACCAAAGGTAAATGATGGTGTCCCCATCGTAATACCTTCTTCCATCTTCATCGTCTACAACTTGTACACTTTGTTTGAGTACATTAACGCCGGAGAGTCGATTCGTGCTTGGTGGAACAACCAAAGGATGCAAAAGGTTACCTCTTCCGCGTCGTGGTTGTTTGGATTCTTGAGTGGGATTGCTAAGGTTGTCGGGTTCTCCGACACGGTGTTTGAGGTAACAAAGAAAGAACATTGTTCGAATGGACCTGCAGACGTAACGGTGCAATCTGATGTTGGGAGGTTCACTTTCGACGAGTCCTCCTTGTTTATTCCTGGCACAACCATTCTGTTGGTAAACATCGCAGCTTTGTTCGTTGGGTTTGTGGATTATTTTAGAAAAGAAGAGGTGGGTTGGAGTTTGGGGGAGGCAATGTGCACTGTGTGGGTGATATTAATGTATTGGGCATTTCTGAAAGGCTTGTTTGAGAAGGGGAAATATGGGATTCCGTTGTCTACCATTCTCAAGTCCGGAGCTCTGACGTTGATTTTCATCCATGCTTGTAGATTTGGACATTGATTTGTGTATCAAATACTTTGTGCCTTTGCTATGTGCACATGCAGGTGATTTCTCCCAACTTATTTTTTATGTGAGTGTTTCTAAAGTTATTTGTTTTAGACTCTAGTATATATTATGTGGTGGAATAATATGGAGTTAGCAAACTCTATTAGGATTAATCCTTGTATGGAAGATCGTTCTTATATTGGCATCACTAGTTCGGACTGCGGGAAACTTAAACAAGGATTTAATAATTGTTCCTTCAGTTTTATTCTTCGATCGTCTAATTTTTGTGCTCATTCTCTGGCTGCTGCTGCCTATAGGCAAACTTCTATTATGTATTGGGATTCTTCCCCTCCTGACTTTGTACCTCTTCAAATTTAATACAGTTTGCTTGTTTTCAAAAAAAAAATATCTATGTATTCTTTTAGTATTTACTTACATGAGAGAAGTTGGGAGATGTCTCATTCCTTTTTTAAATAACACTCCGTTCTAATAAATCATTCTAATTTTGACTTCTGACCAAAATAAAGAAAGTGTAATTTTAGTTGATTTTCTAAATTTGCCCCTAATACATGTAATGGGTAAAATAAGATGTGATAATTTGGTTATTAGTGACAAAGTATGATGTGATATGTATGATATGAAAAAATAAGGGTAAAAATGATTTTTTAATAGAATGTGAAATCTTTTAGAGATTGGAACTAAATGAAAGAGGAATGGTTTAATGGGATGGAGGGAGTATGGATTTTTTCTCTTTCTAGAAAAAGAAACACGACCCAAATTATTTCTATCTCTTCCAAATAATTTTTTAATCACACATTATACATTTTACTCCATCTATTAAAAAAACAATATTATTCACATGATTAAATGTTATATATTTTGTTGGTTTACTTTGACAACTTATTTCATAAAATAATATAATAATGTTGGTTCTTGTTTGGTTGAACTTTTTTTATAGTGTTTAAATATATAACTTTTAATTTTAGTTTTTATTTATAATTAAATAAATTAAATTTAAAATAACGTTAGTCAAATCTCGTGAAGAAAAATGAAAAAAAATAGGATAAAGAAGGTGTTGGAGTATAAAAAAAAATTGGGACAAAACTAAAAGCTTGAGCTTTTGATTGAATCACTTTCTTGACATGGTATTGGGGGCCTGTTGACTAAAAGATCACGAGTTCAAAACTCCACGCTACTTAGTTTAAAAAAATAAAAGTTTGACGTGTAAGGCTGAAGAAAAATTTAGTTAAAAAATATTTAGTTAAATATTTGTGTGATATGCACTTCATCTCAATTATATCAATGGGTTTTGAATTTTAGTTAAAAAAAACTCTATATTTTTTAAAAGTATTTGATAAAAAATTTTGTAACTAAAGAATATTAAAGACAAATAGCAAAGAGTTTAAACCAAGCATTGTAGTAGAGATGGTTTGAAGCATGGCCTTTTCTATCATGAGGTTTTGGATTCGAATCTCGGGCACGTGCTTTTTAAAAATTAAAATAGTTCACAAAAAAATTAAAAAACCGGTTCCGGCGGTGAAACCGGCCGGTTTTAACCGGTTTCCACCGGTTCATTGCTGAAGTCGGTCTAATTGTCCGGACCGGACTGGTTTGATGCACGGTTCACAGGTTTCAAGTCTGAACCGGCCGGTCCAGTTTTCAAAACTATGTCTGTATCTATTCTTTTTTTAAAAAAAAAATTATTCAATCAAAATAATCTACTCCGTATATCTCAATCCCATCAATTTTGCTCACACCCCTATTTTAAGGCCCATAACACATAATCTTTATTTTTTAAAAAATTTGTTTTCACAACTACCCACTTACGAGGCGCCTACGTAGCACTCTATCAAGCCCCGTCAAATCCCCTACTACACATAGTCTTATAACCAAGTTTTAATCCCTCACGTTTTCTTCTTTCTTCATGTGCCCCATTTCTTTTTCCTCTTCTCGATAAAAAACAATCATGCTACATTTAAACCAAAGAATGTATCTCAAAGTTACACCAAAGAGGTACACTAATATTTTGATGGGTCCACACTGACGCAAAATGCTAGTGCAATTAAAAAATATGCACTAATATTTTGTGCATGTGTGAATCATCACTTTAGCATCACACTGGCACTATATAAAAGTGCACACCTGTGGCGTAGTATTTGGGGCACATGTTCTCTTCACCTCATCTTGTTCGTTCTGATCTGATTTGTGGCATAGGACATGTTCTCTTCACCTGATCTAGTTGGTTCTGATTTGATCTGATTTCAAGTAATAAGTAAAAAATAAGTTGAGAAGAACATGACCATATTATACATTGAAGAGCAATGCTAGGTTCACAAATAAAATGGTCACAAAATTCACAAACTTACAATGTATGTTTTACATTCTCATTTGGAAATTATTTTAGACTATTTTATTTTTATTTAAATTCACAAGTATAAATTTGTGACATTTGTAAGGATTTTGTTTGTGAACCAATCATTTCTATACATTGGATATAGATATCTCTCTCATCCTCCTTTTCAGCACCACATGATCACACATTACACGTCTCTTCTTTTTCCCATCTTTTACTTTTATTACTGTTTTTACTCTCTTTTTCACTTCTAAAATAAAATTAATTCTAACATAATTAATATTCTTTGTGTCTCCATTTTGATTATCTTTTTTTCTCTCTTCTCGATAACTTTTGTTTATTTACATGATTTCATTAAGTATTTGATAAAACAAAAAAATTCTTATCATCTTTTATTTTGTAGAACTTTTGATGTAGTTTTTGTAACTTTTAAATCTCAAATTGTATTCGGTGGGGTTGATAAGAAAACTCAAGAAAAGCTACTAGATAACTAAACTGCAGATGGGAGTCCTGCCTCTCAGATATTTGGGCAGTCCCATATCTGTTCCTAGAATCCGTGGCAAAGATTGTGACAGATTGGTAGCTAATATAACTGAAAAAATTACCTCCTATGGTCTACTAAACACATGTCTTACGTAGGAAGATGCAGGGTTATCAGCAGTGTGCTCTTTGGCATCATGACGTTCTGGTGTAAATTGTTTATTCTCCCAACAAAGGTAATGAGGCAGGTACAGAGTGTATGTAGGAATTTTTTGTGGGGTGCTTCTGTTAGTTATACTAAGAGACCATTGGTTAACTGGGATGAAGTGTGCATGCCTAAAACTGCAGGGGCCTAGGCGTAAGGAATATGGTGTACTGGAATAGAGCTTATGTATACAACTATTGGTGGGATATTGATAAAGATAAGGAAAATTTGTGAGTAAAATGGTACATGAAAGGTATATTAAAGGGGAGGTGAAGAACTACAAAATCAGGGGTGACTGCTATTTTTATTGGAAAAAGATCATAAACAATAGAAAATGGTTCACCAATATGGATATGTCAAAGGGGTACACTACAGAGAGGGGAGGTGAAAAAAAAGCCAAACTAGATATCATTTGTTTGGAACAACCTAACTGTACCCAAACACCAATTCCTCCAATGGCTCATTAGTAAAGAGAGAGTTAGTACCAAGGCAAGACTAGCTAAATTCATGGATATAATTAACATATGTGAATTATGCGGTGTAGCTAAAGAAGACCAAGACCATTTATTCAGTAAGTGTAACATAACAAAAGAACTTCTTGCTAGAGTTTCAAACGGGTTGGAGTGGAAAATAGAGGGCAAAGAGGTACAGGAGATTAGGCAATCTTTAATGAGAATTAAGGGGAGAAGGAGGAGGCAAATCATAAGTGCCTATGCAGCAATATGCTATGCCATTTGGAGGGCCAAAAACAAGATGGTTCATCTTAAGAAAGAGCCACAACTGGAGGAGTTAATGAAATGGGTACAATTCACCACAACAACATACTGGACAAAGAGGGGGGACCTGAGTTTGTTCATTAAGGGTAGTACCCTAAATTGAATGTCTTGTTAAAATTGTTAAGTGTATTTCATATTGTAAAACAGTTTGAAGTGATGAATGAAGAAGGTGCATTTTGTTCAAACAAAAACTTTTATTTCTAATTGATATATCGAGTTATAAATAAAATAATTTCAAAAAGTGAAAAATTTTTCCTCGTTAATTCCAATTTATAATCAAATGGGAGAAGGAGGAGGTATAAGCTAGGTAAATAAGGAGATATCCGAACATGATATCTCAGCATGACATTATATTATGGAGTACTCCCTCCGTCCACCAGTTTTTGTCCACTTTTGATTTTTGGAATTGTTTATCTAAGCACTTTGACTCATCAAATTCTCTCAATGTGTAAGCCTAAATATAGTCATGTGTGATCTTGTTTGATTTGTCTTAACATATAGATTATTAATATATAATTTCTATACTTTCAAAAAAATATATATAATTTCTATAATTTTTTAATATACAAATTACAAGATAAAATGGATTAAAAAAGTGCATTGGATGGTGTGTAAAAATAAAAGTGGACAAATACTCTGAAACGGAGGGGGTAGTAGTTTTGAGAATGACAATATCACACATTATTTATTTCATATTTTCAACATCAAGTTCAGTTTGAATAGCAGCCTTATTAATTTATTTATTTTTATTCTCAAGGAATACAGGGGAAAACCCACTTTGCAAAGTGACACAGTTTAGGTGACGGCCCGTTTAGCAGCTTTGACGGAAGCAGAAGCCACCGTGATAGAGTCGTATCTCTGCAAAATGTAAGCAACCAGCAACGACGCCGTTAGAGTCACAATCTCCTTACCCGCACACTGCTTGTCCGCTGGACCGGGCGACCCGGTCTGCGGCCCGTTCGACCAATACAAATACTTCAGCAATTCCTTCCCCTTTTCCCCCGCAAACCGGTCCAGCACAAAAGTCTCCGGGTCATAGAAAACCTTCGGGTCACGCATGACCAACGGCTGGTACCCGCAGAGAAGCTCACCTTTCTTGACCTCGTAACTCGACTCGTGCGAACTCAGTTGGAAGTCCTTCCTCGCCCGGGCGAACTGAGTCGGGACCGGCGGGTTGAGCCGGAGCGTCTCGTAGACGAAGGACTGGACCAGACCCATTTCCTTGACCTTCTCGAAACTTAGATTCTCCGGGTGGGTCCCGGCTACTTCCCGGACTTCCTTCCTCAGCCTCCCTTGGATGTAGCCGGCGTTCTTCTCGTCCCCCAGCGCGCCGAGAAGCGCCGGCAAGAAGATGGAGAATCCCCCGACGGCGTTGAACCCCAGGACGAAGACGAGGTTGTGGACGGCTTCCTTCTGGGTGAGCCCGAAGCCGTCCACGCCTCGCCTTACGGCCTCGGCCGCCTCTTTCTCGACGAAATCGACGATTTTCTGGTAGTCTCTTTTGACGAGGAAGAAAGGGTAGGGGAAGGAGTGGAGGAAGATCTCTTCCAAGGGCTGGAGGTAGCCGACGTTGATGGTGGGGAGAAGCTGGAGGCCGAGCCACTTGTCGAGGATGATGTGGCCGGAGCGGGCGATTTCCGGTGACTTGGAGACGTCGGCGCCGAGAAGGGTGAGGGAGAAGAAGCTGAAGAGGAACTTCTGGAGCGGAAGTAGGAGGGAGGCGGATCTGCCGCCGGATTTTGAAAGGTCGGAGTCTATGGCGGACCACATTACGTCAAGCTGGCTTGTCAGGGCTTGAACCCATGTTGCTGAGCTTCTTTTCAAGATGTCTAATGTGTAGTTCTTGATCTGCCATTGTTGAATTTCACAAAGCTTATTAATATGGGAAACTACAATCTTTCAAAAACATCTTTCATAAAATTATTTTATTTTATCATACTTGCTATATGGTGAAATAAAATTCGACAATAAAATTATTTTATTTTATCATACTTCCTCCGTCCCCTGTATTTGTCCACATTTGACTTTTGGAACTGTTCATCTAAGCACTTTGACTCATCAAATTCTCTCAATGTGTAAGTCTAAATATAGTCATGTGTGATCTTGTTTGATTTGTCTTAACATATATATTATTAATATACTCCCTCCGTCCTAGAGTATTTGTCCACTTTCATTTTTACACACCATCCAATGCACTTCTTTAATTCATTTTATCTTTTAATTTGTATATTAAAAAATTATAGAAATTATATATTAATAATCTATATGTTAAGACAAATCAAACAAGATCACACATGACTATATTTAGGCTTACACATTGAGAGAATTTGATGAATCAAAGTGCTTAGATGAACAGTTCCAAAAGTCAAAAGTGGACGGAGGTAGTATAATTTTTATAATTTTTTAATATACAAATTACAAGATAAAATGGATTAAAGAAGTGCATTGGATGATGTGTAAAAATGAAAGTGGACAAATACAGGGGACGGAGGGAGTATATGGTAATAAAATTAAGTACCCATAGTCGTAAAAAAAAGAAAAAAACTAAAATAAAAATAAAATATTAAAAATATATTAAAATAAGAGTTCTATGTTTATATTCACGAATTAAGAAATAAAATATATATATGATATCAATCATGTTCATATATATTCTTTATTAGGGTGAGAATATATATGGCCTATTGCATTCTCCTATTTTGAGCAAAAAAAGATAGAATTACTAATTTAAAATTTTCTTATATGTTCTATTCTTATGTTCTATTCTTGTGATTTCTTTAAAAAAAAAACCCTGAACATGCATGTCTCCCTACTTTAATAGTTTCAAGTATTCGTTAAAAAAAGGTTTTAAATAGTGAAATTTGTATTAAATAGAATTAAAACATAAGTTATTTTCTAAGGTATTATTTAATTTTTTTTTATTTTATAAATAGTACTCAATAATGTCTAGCTAGTATGAGAAATAATCTCAAATGATAGTAGACATTTACTTAAATAATAACTAATGGATAATGACAAATAATCCTACATTGGGAAATAAAAATACATGATCCTATATTGAAAAAGTCATTATGTTTTAGTGTTATTTAAATAAATTCATCTTTTAAATATGAAGTTCTTTTAGGATGGTTTACTTTTGAATCACGTTCCAATTTTACCATGGGACAAGTTGTTCATAAACACTCATATAGGCAAAAATTTACCCGAGTATATAAACTTTGACTACGATTTATTTCTTTGTTGGAGAGTCCTTACAATATCATTAATGCAATATCATTAATGACTAGTTTCTTTGTTGGAAAGTCCTTACAATATCATTAATTCAATAATTTATGAACACTCCATAATTATTAATGTCACATGCAAAGATAATTTGAAGTCTCTTGCTTTGGAATTTATAAAAATCACTCTAGATAGAATTAAAATATACAAAAAAATATCAAAATAAGACTTTCATATTTTTTTTCCTGAAATAAGATTTCGCACTGTAGTAATGTGACACTGTACATGTGCGCATTATTATACTTTTTGGTAATGTACATAACTTTTTGGTAATGTAAATGCATTTTAAGTCCTATTTCGAAAATAAAAATATGGAGGTTCTATTTTGGTATATTTTCAATATTTTACTCCTACTTTTAGCTTTCTCCCTTAGATTTAAAAAATTATCTTACAACTTTTTTCAACTCGTACCAATTTTTTCAACTCTTTCAAGTTAAAAAATATACAATAATTCAAAATAAATTAAACAATATATTTTTATATATATCAAAATTTTTAACATGCTTGTTCAAATGCGGACAAGAATGAATTTTCTTTTATTCAAAACTTCATTCTTGAATTTTTTTAATTTATTTCGATTTCTTTCAATATCTAATTCTAAAATTCTAACACGAAAAAGAAAGAAAAGAGCTTTTAGTATGAGTTTAGATCTAAATGAAAAATAACTTCCGATTCTGCTAGATCCAGATTCAGATCCGACCGGACAAGTCTCAAACCGGTCTAAATCTACTAACAAAAACTGTTGACTCAACCAGTCCAAGATTGGGATCTATTTCAACTTTTATTAATAACGGGCATAAATTTTGGTACCTGCGCGTGCTTGGGCTCTGACGTGTCAAGATACGCGCACACGCGCATCCCGCCGGTGAAGCTAACGCTGGGCATGAAGTCGCCGACCAGCACATTCGCCTTCTCCGCCACCTCCGGATCGAAGAGGTGAGAGAAGGACTTGACGTCGAGCACGGCGATGACGTTCGGGTTCACGCCGAGGAAGAAGGGGAAGCTCGGCGGCACATTCGTCCGGAAAACGGTGCTCCGGTTCCTCTCGATTCTCGTCTGGAAGAACTTCTTGGGGCCCTGGAACCAGAAGTAGTCCAGCCGGTCCTTCATCGGCCCCAACAATGGCCATCCGTAGCCGCCGGGAATCGGCCGTACCGTCGGAAATGTTGCCGGCGCTGCCGGTTGCGGTCCGGGGATGGCGCTCATCATATCGCAGGTTTAGATAATATGTGGTTGACAGGTGATGCCGACTCTCTCTGTCCACATGATTTAAAGCATGTTTTTCATTTGGGGTGAACGTGTTCTTCGTACGGATGTGCTGCCTTTTTCTCAATTTAACTTTGAAATATTTATACTAAATAACATTAAAATTTAAGTCATTCTCCTAAATAGCACTTAAACTATTTTATTCCTTAAATAGCACTTAATAATGTCCATAATGTCTAGTGATGACGAATATTTACTTGAATAATGACTAAAAGTGCTACACAAGTATTTATAGAAAGCTAGAGGGGACAAGGCGCCGCACACCCTCGTCAGACCATGATCCTGGGTGGCGCGAGGTGATTAGCTCTGTCTCCTAGTCGCTTGTCATCTAGTTAGGAAGGTGACTTTCTTGTCACGTAGTGTTTTGGACGGATTACTTGAATGTCCTCAATGATCCTTCATTGTATTTGGCCCCTACAGTCCAATTTCTTTTGAATTCTTCCTTGCCGACACTTCCCAACCATAGATATCATGCCGGGTAAATTTATAAGGGATGAGTTTATTGAAATTGGGGGCGAATGATGGAGTAAAGTATTTGGACCAGCAGAGCATCCAAAGTGTACTGGTCAAGTTCTCATCAACCGAATACCCTCCTACTGTTGTTTTAGGCTCATACCAAAAATTAGTCTTGACTGGTCAATTATTTGAAAGCCTCCATTTGAACGGTATTGGATGGAATACACCCACCAGATACGAAACATGACACTTTATCTAACTCGGTTGTGTTCACTTATAAACCAGTTCGGAACAAGTTTTGTACAAAATTTTGGTGCCCAAAACAAAACGAGACTTCATAATATTCAAATCACGATATTTTCTGTTGGAGATAGAAGAAGGAAGCCGGATCGAAGAAGGAAATTGATTCGGTTTAGTAGATTCCTAGGGAAAAACCCTAATCTAGACATACGACGGTCCATCACCGTCCTCCGCCGGTTCAAGCCTGTCTTCCGCCGGATCACCGACATCGACCGCCGGACTATCCTCCTCGACCGTCGACATGGCAGAAGTAGAAGAAAATCTCGTCGGCAAGCTTTTCGATGAGGAAGAAAAAATCCCTACGAAGGGAAGTTCTTACGAACTCAAGAACGCAGACACACCTGGATTAATTATCACCCAAGTCAAACTAAATGGTGATAATTATGAAGAATGGGCTCGTGCAATGAGAATTGCATTCCGTGCAAAACGGAAAATTGGATTCATCGACGGATCCATCCCTTGTCCAGAAGAAGGAGATGAAAACTATGAAGAATGGTGGATTGTGAATGCCATGTTGGTCTCATGGATTTACAACACAATTGATGGCAGCCTGAGAAACTCCATCACACAGGTAGAAGAAGCAGCAGAACTATGGAAGGACATCCAAGATCGTTTCTCTGTTGCAAACGGTCCTCGAATTCATCAACTAAAGAAGGAACTTGCAAATTGCAAGCAAAAC